GGTATCTATGTATCATCAATTGTATTAAAGATTGCCAAGTTAAAATAAATGTTAAATTTTTTATTGAAGCATAATTCTTAAATCATATTTTAAATTTTTTGTCAGATTGAGACAGAAACCTAACGTTAGGGATCAAATTCACGCACTTGTTTACTCAAAACTGAAGATTTAAAATAATTACAATTATGTGTCAAAAAAAAAAATAATAATTACAATTATAACTAAGGAACTGAATTGTTGCTACATATATAACTCATAAACCAAAGATGTTCATCAATCTTTAACCAAAGGTCAAGGGTTTGATCCTTAGCTTTGAAAATAGAGCAACCTTAAAAAAAAAAAAAAACCAAAGATGTCATTTTCCCTTATTTTAATTGACTTCAATATTTTTTTTATATTGTAATTTATTCATGTACTTTGAAGTTTAAAAGATTCCTGCGAGAGATTCACAAGTATTTTAGGTTCTATCCTCTTTTTTTTTATACGTAGAAATTTAGGAAACATTACTTATGTTTGTAGGAGTTTATATTCTTATCATGTTACTTTTTAAGATTTGATAAAATTATTATTATTATTTGAATAATGATTATCATGCATTTGGTTAGTTTTTGACAATTAATAGTTTGAAAATTAAATATGAAATGCCAATAACCAATCATTTCCTCTGATATAAGGACCAGAGGCTGCTGATTACGCAGCAGATGGGGCGGCGATGTAACGAACAACGCCGGCCGCCTTGAACTTGTCGTCTTCAACCTCAAGCCCGCCACCGCCAACTGCCACCGCTGGCGGCGGCGGCGGCGTATTCTTGTAATCCAATGACTCGTCGTTGTATACGTCCCACCATTTCTTCACCAGCATCTTGATGTCTTCCCTGTCCATGTTGGCCTCTTTTCCGGTGAACCTCCACGGCTTCGACCCCGCCGCGCAGTAGTGAGCCACCTTCACTTTCTCCAGCTCCACATTCTCCGGGTGGCGCCACAGCATGGCTAGTACCAGGTTGTACACATTTGGGATTGGCTTGTAAACGTTTCTGAAAAACATGTTCAAGAAATCCTGGAAAATTAAAAACAGACAATTTGTATTAGTAGCAGGATTAGTCCGGAAAAACTCATCAACATTCATATATAATATATAAACATAAATGTGCAATTCAATTATCAGCTTAAACTTTTAGTTGAGATAGAACACATGCTTCAATTTGCAATAGAAATTGTTAATTACTGATTGAGATCTGTTACGTACTTGCTCGGCGAAAGGAGTGGGAGGGGTGAGTTGAAGGGTGTTCAAAAGGTCATCGTAAGTGGAAAGATTGGGCTCAAACACGAACATTCCGGCGTTGAAGTAAAGCGGCGGGCGGGGGCCGAGCTCCGCCGCCGGCCACTGGACCTTCTCCGGGCACTGTTGGCAGTATCCGATGTTGTACTGCGGGGTGTGAGTCCATGTCTTCTCGCAGAAGCAGTCCATGACGGCGTAAAAGTAGCCGTCCGGCAGGTCAAACAGGTGGTCAATGTTCTCAAACACCTGAATATCCCCATCCAAGTATATCATCTTGCTATACTCCACAAACTGCATTATATTCAAAAACCATCATTTAGCTTCAAAACCATACATGGAATATAATTTTAATCCCAATTTATGTCTTTGAAGGTTATTCTTGCCCATAATAGCAAAATCGCTACACTAAACCACAGCTCCTTATTTTGAGAGGCTACTCTACAGTTGGTGAGATTCAATTTAAGTCATTGTGACTAATTGAGCTGTCCATATAGACACTAATAAGCAAAGATTTAGTCAATGTTCAGATGAATTACCATATTTACATCATCCTTTCCATAAATCATGATAACTCAGCTGAACACGAGCTATCGGTTCAGAGACCTAGGGCCATTGAGGTTGGAGATTCAACATTTATGGGAAGAAAGACAACAAAATACTAAAGAACTAAATTATAGTGATTCAATTGTCCATTAACATACCTCCCAGATAGGGAGCTTGGAGTAGGTGATGACGTAGTACGCCATAGCAAACTGGGTGTCGTTCTCCGGCGGGTAAACCGGCTGAATTTCACGGACGATGCAGCCCTGGTTCACCAGTAACCGGCGGTGTTCCTCCGGGACATCCGGCAAGACCGCCACCACGAGCGGGTAAGCAGAGTTGACCTTCCGCAGCCCCTTGGCCAGCGCCACCACCCCTTTCACGTAATCCCCATTGCCGGCCAAGAACGTCACGTACGCTCTGCTACACAGGCTAGCAGCGTTCACTACTAAACCGCCACCATCCTCCATTGCATTAGCAGAAGCACTAACGATCTCCGGAGCCATTTTTTCCCCAACCAACAGATATTATGAGAAGCTTGAAGCTAGGTTTCAGTGACAAGAGCTGACTGAGGTAACGTTTTTTTATGTCGGGAATTCTTGAAACCAAAGCAAAGGATTAAGGTTAGGTTAATTTTGAGGTTGCAATACCACCCAACATAAAGGGACTCATTAAGGTGTGTTTGGTTGATGGGTTTTGCCAATAGGAATGGGTATAAAAGTGATTGTTATTGTTTGGTTGATAGATTTTTAGAATACTACTATGGATTTTGAATACCCCATCAATTAAAAAACTCATACCCAAATAAAATAAGAGTTTCATTTCCTTATTCATTCTCAAGCACTACTATTATTAACTATTTTCATTCTACCCTACTATCAAACATGTTAAATAATTTCACCAAAACTCATCAACATTACCAAGTATTTGATATTCATTCTGATTCTGATTCCTATGTGTGAACCAAACACATCCTAAGCTGGTGAGCGCCTAAAAAAAGGCTAAAAATCTCCTTCAGAATGGATGCTCACCAACACAAAATAATTGGCTCCCATGGGAAAAAAGAAAATAACAATTGAATCAGTATATTATATTTTATTGACTGCACAACATCATATCACTAACAGCTTCATAAATTAAAAATTTTTATTTATAAAATTTACTGTAAATTTTTAAAAATTTTACTAAAATATTTCAATTAATCATATAAGTAACTGATTAAATAAAAAAATTAATTTAATTAATTTTAAAATAAAATTTTTATTCAAATACAATTAAGACATTTTGTAAATTCAATTAATTAGCATCCTTACAGCCTACCAAACGAAGATGATGGCATCAGTGCCGCCAGTACTTGTGCTGTAAATTGTCGACGTTTCTGGCAAAAGTGGGACCGGCAATGCCACGTTGCAACGACTTGGATAGAGGATAATATCTTGCCACGTGGATGGAAATAAAGCTTGAGGGACGACAGCTCGTGAGTTGCATGGCTAATTGACTTTTCTAACATTTTTTAGGTGTTATGTCGGGTTGTCTTAGTAATTACTTCGTACTTTTCGATGGAGTGAAATCAAAGAGTATAAATGGCAATAGTTTGGGAGGATTACCCCACCCACTTTATATTTTTCACTCATCTACTTTTGTTTCCGATTTGTATTGGGTATATTTTTTCAAAATCCACTTCATTCCACTGAATGCGGGTGTGTTTACGATGATTATCTACAACTTATCATCTTATTAACTTTTTTTTTTTTTTAAATAATATTTAAATTACTTACATATAATAAAATTCATTAGTTATACTAAAATAAAAAATAATAAAAAAATCTAAATATAATAACTAAATTGTTAATTTTTAAAAATAAACTTAATAGTTTAAATATAAAAATAGTAAAAAGTTACTTAAAATTAGAGGAAATTTCAATTTTGGTCATATGACTATAGGAATCTTGTTAATTTTAGTCCCTGACTTTTAAAAGTGTTAATTTAGTACCTTAACTATGTAATTTTTGTCAATTTTTGTCTCTGGCCTAATTGCTAGTCAAATTTCGCCGAAAAATTTTAATAATTAAAATAATAAGGGTATTTTGGTCGTTTCACGCCTCTTTTCTCTCTGGCCTAATTGCTAGTCAAATTTCGCCGAAAAATTTTAATAATTAAAATAATAAGGGTATTTTGGTCGTTTCACGCCTCTTTTCTTCTTCTCCGGCGAGTCCATCCCTTTCTCTCCCGTTTCCGGCGTTCTTTCTCCCCGTAAACCTTATCTTTAATATCATCAAGCCTCCTTTACCCATCATTTTATTTCATTTCATTCGTGGGAAACGGGAGAGGAAGGGATGGACTCGCTTGGGAAGAAGAAAAGAGACGTGAAATGATCAGTTCTCCGGCGAAATTTGGCCGGAGTGACCAAAATTGACAAAAATTATATAGTTAAGGTACTAAATTGATACTTCTAAAAGTCAGGAAATGAAATTAACAAAACCCCTATAGTAATGGGACCAAAATTGAAATTTCCTCTTAAAATTATAAAAACTTTAAGGAATAAGGATCAAATAAGTCACTCAATTGCACACCAAACTCCAATTATGTCATAGAACTCAAAAACAATGCAATTAGGTTACTGAACAACACAAACTCACGCAATTCAACCCAGAATTACCTGTTTGACCCTTATTCCAAATTTTAATAATTATTTACATACTAATACTTATTTTACTAATGTACATGGAACATGAATTCAATCCGCCCCACCGCATGTTAATTTTTTTAGGACCAAAATTGGTATTTGCTCATTTAATCAATATAAAATTAATGATTATTTTTAATATAATCAAAATAAGTATTTTTAACTTGTGATAAAAAATAATAGTAAAAATGAGAGTTGATGTAAATCATTAGAATAAAAAAAAAAAATTGTCATAACAATTTTATTTTAAAATTAATGAAGTCCCCTTAATGCGATTATTATGATAATTGATAAGTGGGTAAAAGTTAATAATGCACATAATTACACCAACACATTTTATATTCCAATTAGAACCTTAGTATCATTGACTCTTATATAATTTATATATATTTATTATAATTTTATATATAATTTATTAGTAGATAACAAAACTGCAATTTAGATATAATATCAAAACTATATTGACATTGCTGTAATTGTGTACTGGATTCTTTACGGTAGTTCATTAAAACTTTTGATTTAAGGGAAAACTCAAACTAAGTAGGTTAATAGACAGTTCTCACGATGAGTCAAACTTGGAACCTTGTAATTGTTAAGTTAACTGTCCAACCAACTTGACTGGAGTTGTCTCTGGTTCATTAGAGCTTGCATTGACTAACGACTAACAATCTTAACCTACCAAGGAATATTCCTCAAGATTCATTCCCAGCTGAATAGATAGATATGAGAAATTAGAGAGTATAATGACAAATCATATTTGGATTTTCTGATAAATATAATGCTTGGTCGAAAAGTAGTTACCTTATTAGTATATTTTTCTCCAACTGCCCCAGCAAATCACTGTCACCTTATAGAGTAACCTTGAACATGGAAATTGTTGTTACAACAGAAGATTCAACACACAGGTGATCTGCAACAAACAATGCTCTTTCAGGAATGCAGAACATCTCAAAAACCATAAGGAACTTGAGGTTTTCATTGATATATTACTCTACCTGATAATGGAAGGAGAATTAGATTTCAGTACTAGTAAACAAGCTTTTAATCTTCTTTGACCATTTTCATCTATGTTTAGGAACATAGTTTTAAAATTGCAAATAAAAGAGTAGCATAACAGGCAATAAAAGGCCAAATAGATGCAGATTCTCACATACAAAATCTTGACAAGGATAAAAGTTGCAGGGCATATTGGTTAAAGTTGAAGGTTGTACTGTTTTCCTTATCAAAATATTGGTAGGTTCTGATTTTTGAATATAAATATTATCAACAAATGGTTAATTGGAACAGAAAAAAGAACGCAATAGCAACAAACCTTTAGACAAATTTGCAGCTCCAAATTTGGAGATTCAATGGTGTTCAAGTTCCACATTCCAACACAACATCCTCTGCTTATGAGAGTATCTAGCATCTATAGTCAAGGTATGAATGCATGGGATCTCATCAATGCCATACTCAACACCACCAATTTAAAAAGGCTGTGGAGATGGTGTGATTTGGCCCCTGAGAGCAACTTCATTTCATCAACTTCGGTCTTGTAGCCTTAAATAGAATAAGCAATGCCAAATCAGCCAAAATATGAAAATCTAAACTTATGCACCTTAACAATAGAGTATACAGGAACAGCTCAATTGGAGGGCACAGGTTGAATGATTACCTTAAGTGCAGTGAATGCTCTCCAAAATTCATGGAGATGCAAACATAAATAATTCAACATAGAGGAGCTGAGAGTAGCAATGCACTGTACAAGTTTTGCCCTCTTTCTATTTCAGACACAGCTCATAGTCTGAAGAATTTTTAATTACTACATGCTGATACAATGGCAGGTTTTGACTTATCTTCTACAAGGGAAGCAATTTCCTGGGAAGTTAAATCAGTTTTTGAAGTCAATAACTCAAGAATGATATATATATCTTCGCTTTTGGGGTGTGTTTTGTCCCCAGCAACGAATGCATACATCTCATCCTTGAGTTTTATCCAAGACCATCCAGGCTCTTTAATGACTCCTTTTGATCTCATCAGCTTCCTCAGTTCTGCTGCTTCTCTCCACTTCCCTTTTGAAGAATACAAGTTAGCCAGAGTAATATGAGCTCCGGCACAGTCAGGATCCAGTTTAAGAATCTGCTCTGTAGCACGTCTTCCACATTCGACATCACCATGCACTCTACAAGCTCTAAGAAGAGTCGACCAAACAACATCATCCTTTTCAAATGGCATGCTCTTGATCATGTCCTCAGCATCACTTAATCGTCCAGCTCGGCAAAGCAGATCAATCATGCAACCATAGTGTTCTTTAGACGGACTTAATTTATAGTCCCGGATCATTGCATTAAAGTAATGAAACCCAAGATCAACAAGTCCAACATGGCTACAAGCACTGAGAACTCCAATAAAGGCTATGGAATCTGGTTTCAAACCTGCCTCGGGAATTTTCTCAAATAAACTGATAGCTTCTCTGCTTTTCCCATGCTCAGCAAATCCATTAATCATAGCTGTCCATGATACAATATCATTACTCTGTGCCATGTGAAATATATTTGAGGCTTCTGTAATACTTCCACATTTTGAGTACATATTTACCAAAGCACTTTGTACCAGAGCTGTCCGATCTAAACCAATAATAAGGACGTGAGCATGAAGTTGCTTCCCTTGATCAAGAATTGCCATAGTTCCGCATACACTCAATACACTAGCAAGGGCAAACTCTGTTGGCTTCGTTCCCTCCCTTCTCATCCTTGAAAGAAGTATAAATGCATCCTCTCCACGTCCAGCTTGAGCATGGCCTGCAATAATAGTGCTCCAAGAAACAATGTCTCTCTTGTTCATCGCACTAAACACAATGGAAGTTGCATCTAGCAGCCCGCATCTAGAATACATTGTCATGACCGAATTTGCAACGGATGGATAAGCCATGAAACCTACACGTAATACATTAGAATGCAGTTGCTCCCCCCAATCAAGTCTTGCAAGGTTAGCACAAGCAGCAATGATTGCAGCATAAGTATACTCATTAGGACTCGTGCTTGAGTCTCTCATTTGCAAGAATGCTTGGATTGCCCGTTGATCTTGACCCATCTGGACATATGTTGTTATTATAGTCGTCCACGACACCACATCCCTCAAGTTCATTCTTTCAAACAAGCACAAACCATAATTTAGCTTCCCACATTTATTGTACATTGTGGAGAGACTATTAGCCACATAAGAGCCTGCACCAAAGCCTTTCTTTATAACCTGAGCATGAATTTCCCTTCCATAATTCAGATGCTCCAAATCAGCACACGCCTTCAATGCAATAGCGTAAGCATATGAATCATATTCTATCCCATCTTTCCACATTTCCGAAAAATACTGTAAAGCATCATCATTATAACCCATATGAACAAGTCCAGTCACTAAAGCAGTCCAAGAAACAATGTTCCTAGTAGGCATCTCATCAAAGAGTCTGCAACCCTCCAAAGCTTTTCCCAATTTCATATACATATCAAGAAGTGAGCTTCCCACGAAAACAGAATTCACAAAACCAGTTCTTACAGAATACCCATGAATAAGTTCTCCATGCTTAGCATTTGAACTGATCCCACAAGCCTTTACCGCAAGGCTAAGTATGAATGGGTCTAGTTGAAGACTAGGACAGACCCATATATTGTAAAACAAAGATAACGCTTCGAATGAATTAGAAGCATTGACGTAACCAGCTATCATGTTGGTCCATGAGACTTCATCTCTGTGTGGCATTTTATCGAACACCTGACGAGCATCTCCCAGACGTCCTTTATTTATCAGCTCCTTCAACTGAGAATTGATTACCAGCACGTCGAAGCCATTGCTTTCTTTTGTTAGTTGATCTTTGCTATTCCACGCAGCCAATATTTCTCTGGATTCAGCGTAGGCAATACTCGATGTTGCATGCCATTGTCTGATGCAACCCCATCGCCTTGCTGCTAAGGCCATTTTTGGGTGTGAAGCGCAACACCAAATCATTACATCTTTTATTCCAAACATGGGCCTAATAGCTAGAGCACCCTGTCAAATTATATCGTGCACCGCGGTGCATAATCGATTATGCACCGCGCTTCAAATCGACATTTTTGTTTAATGAAAAAGAAACGGTACCCGTTTTGCTCCCTTTCGCAAAAAGTACCTCTGTTATTCAGTTTCATTTTGTATACATTGCAGTTTCAGTTCAACACAACTACAGTTTCATTCGACATTTATACACTTAAATATGTGAAAATGTTATTTAATTTTATTTTATATACATTATAGTTTCATTAAAACACAACTACATGGGCTCTGTTTGGCAAACCTAGCTGAAAAGCTATAAGTTAGGAGCTGAAAGCTGAAAAGGAGCTGAAAGCTGAAAAGCTATAAGCTCGGAGCTGAAAACTGAAGAATTGTTAAGCTAGCCGTTATGATTGAAAGTGTTTGGTAAAATTAGCTTTTTGATAAGCTGATAAATGTAAAAAGACTAAAAATGACATCTTCATAAAATTTAAATTAGTTTGTTTACATATTAAAATTTAACATTTTGAAATAACATTATTAGCATAATCATGATCTAGCATCTCATAATGAAGTAACAATATTGTTAAAAATGTAATAATAATAATAATAATAATAATAATAATCTCTTCAATAATAATAATAATAATAATAATAATAATAATAATAATAATAATATTTGCTGTAAAAGTTGCGGATAAAGAAGAAGAGAAAATAGTTTTAATTGGGAAGGGTAAATTATGTCATTTCTTTAAAATGATAAGGATAAAGATGGAAAAAAAGTTAGGAAGCTAGGAGCTTATTTTGAAACGCTACCTAAGGTAGCGTTCCAAAATAAGCTCTTATTTTAAGCTAGGAGCTTATTTTGGGAGCATTACCAAACAGAGCTTATAGCTTATTAGTAGCTTAAAATAAGCTATAAGCTCCTAAATAAGCTATAAGCTCCTAAATAAGCTTTGCCAAACAGAGCCATGATCATTTCGATATAACTACAACTTCAATGCACAATATACACTCAAATATGTGAAATGTTATTCAGTTTCATTTTATATACACTGCAGTTTCATTTCACCACAACTACAGTATCATTTTGATATAACTGCAGTTTCATTTAATAATATATAAAATAATACGTGAGGCAGTGTTAGTTTAGATACACTATACTGTCAGTTTAGATACACTGTAGTTTCAGTTGGTAATTAACATAGATACATTGTAGTTTCAGTTGGTAATTAACACAAAAAATGCGCGCTCCGTTAACGTCGTTTTGGATAGCTCCGTTTCTGTAAACAGAAAATTTTCCATTAACCCGATATAAGTTCCTTTTAATATATTGCAAGTTCAAAAAGATTAATTAGCCTAAATTGTTGTACAATTAGATTCCTATCGAATTTTTTTAGATGTAACCACGAGGTAATCCGAGTCTTTCTCGGTCCGTGTTAGCTAGTTCGAGAGGAATCGTCACTTGTGAGAATCGAACCCAAGTTATCTCAAAATTCTCCCCCACAAAGAGAGGTCATTTACCATCTAAACTACCACCTGGGTTTTCTTCTCATTTGATATGTGTGCCTGTTTTTTAAAATTATTTATAGCTTCAAAAGAAATCTGTCTTCATTTGTTGATAGATGCTGCACTTTATCCCTCCTCAATAAATGAATGAAACATAAACAAAGACAGAAAGACTCGTCTGTTCCAGCAATCAAAGTAGATGAGTAAACCACCAAGGAACACCAGGAATGTAAAATTAGATAAAAACAAGAAAACCCATTACAAAGAAGACTGGTATTGAATCATTGCATCTGTTCATCAATCTTTGTAGCTGAATATAATGGAAAGGGGCAGTCAATCATAAAATGGAGTTTTCAGCCATGGGTATATCTTCGGTTCAACTATCTACATGTGATATTTAAACAACAATTTATAAAATGTATAGAGTAGTAAGTTTAAGTGTTTAAAAAGGATATTCTTTTGCCTTTGTAACTTGACAAGCAGTCATTTTATCAACAATTGCTCATTCGACAAATGGCCGTTGTAGGGGATGAACCAATGACTGTCAAGAGAAGTAGATATAATCTTCTCTGCATCTCTTTTACAAGACTAGGCGGCTTCAAGTAGCAATTATGTTCATGAACTTTCTCTTTGCGAAGGCTAACCACCATTTGTTCGGAGTCCCATTAGCCCGATATGCAACACTGAGTAATCTCCCGCTTGTCTCCTCCCTTATTTGCTTCAGGTATTCTCTAAATAGCTCTGTGATAAGAAGTCATAGTTGAGTACAAGATTTTAGTCTACACTATAGAATCTCACGTAAAACATATTCCATTATCAGACCAATAAAGAATTGAGATTGAAGTGCAATAGAGTACACCCTTCATTTTTCACTTACTTGCTTCTTTTTGAGATTGCGGTGCACTGAATAACCCAGGGAAGGGAAAACCGGCCTCCCCAGGTACAGGAACCTTTTCAAGTCCTAAGTTTATTATAGCCTTAGTTCCTTCGGCTAAAGTCCTGCAGCCTTCAAGCCTCTTCAATGCCACATTTATATATAATGTCAAATAGATAAGGAGTTTATCTGCTGAACTTTGAATATCAAAGTTTTTTAAGAAGACATTCGCTCTAAAGAATGTGATTGCTTCATCAATTATATCCGTGCTATCTGCATGAACAATATAATATAAGCAGTTCTCACCCTTCTCAAGAACAAAAGAAACATAGGAAAAGAGAAATCCTCTAAGATTATTAGAGTACGTATCCAGGTAAAGATGATGTCTTGGCAAGTCTAACCTTGTTCTGAAACTGGAGCAGGTCCCTTTATGTGGCTTTTAAGTGGCAGTAAAGGGCACCCACAAGCTTTAGAAACTCCTTCCTCATCAACAAAACTAGAGTGATATACCTGCAAGCAAAACCATTATTGGGACTTATGAGGAAAAGAATTAGGTCTTGCAGACCCTAAAACTAGAGACAGCTGAAGCAGCCTGACAACTGACAAGATTTCATATTAAAACTGGATCATCTAACCAGACTTAAGGAACCCTGCCTTGTGACCCTAGTTGGCAAAGGACAATAAGGAGGTAAACCAACATAGGTTGCCCATATCTGGCCGGCTCAAACTAAGAAGGCCATTAGGCCGCTCCCGCTGGGAGTCAAACTTGTAACCTTGTAGTTACCAAACTTTAAATAGCAACAACCTTGGACCAAACAAAACCACTTAATCTGGCCTACGGTCTAGTTCCAAAAGAAGCAGTAGGAACCAGAGTGCACCATTTCATGTACAACTAGTCTAGATACTCATTTGATCAAGGCTAGGCCATTACTCATCCCAACCAAACATGATTTTTCTCAGTCAAATTCAGTCCCAATCCAGATTTAGTGAAATCAAGATCACTTGCCATCCCTACCTCCAACATAAACATTAAAAAACAATGGAGGAAAAGAATTGAATAATGATAATCATTCTCAGCTACTAAGACAAATCACAATGCAATCTCTACACTGCTTAATAAAGTATTTTGAGTTAAAAGAAAAGAAAAAAAAATCATTCCCACATACCATTTTGCTTGAATACAATATTGTTCTCTACCTTCCAACTTCTTACTATCTGCAACAAAAATCCGAAAGCACAAATAGACCAAAATTTTTAAAACTAAGTCCAAATATCCAGAGCTCAATAAGTTAATGTAACTAAACAAATGTAATCCGGAGAGTAATTTCAATTTCACACCAAATTGAATGCGAAGTATTGTCGGAAACAAGAAAAGTGGTGAATAATTTCAATTTTCAAACTGTTTCAAATCACAGTAAATTACCTCCGGGCTCCGACCTCGACGATTTGCTGACAGGTCGGCGGTGGGCGGATCGCAGTGTTTAGAACTTTAAATCGGAGCAGCCGGCAGGTGTTCGAACTTCGCAGGAAATGTGAGCGCAGAGTTGGAAGGGGTACGAGCAGCGGGGGCCGGCGGTGGTGCTGGATTCCGCTGGGCGCTTGCCGGAGAAGCAATTCTGATTTCTAAGGTGACAGTAACAAAGATCAGAATCCCCCGTACTTTGATGTTATTGGAGATATTAGCAGCAGATCTTGATCCTCCGTCGAGAGATTATTGGGTCTGGGCCGTCTAGCAAAAGCCAAAACATATTTACTTGAGTTAAATTTAAGGGAAAAGGTACAAATAGGCCATTGAACTATTTGGGGGTTAGCAATTAAGCCATCGAACTCAAATAAGCTCCAAATTGATCCATGAACCTGCAAAAGAAGTGCAATTAACATTTTTAACAGGTTAACAACAAGTTACTGCTGACTAGGATGCCATGTGTAATTTTATTTTTTATTTTATTATTTTTATTATCCTAATCAGCATTTGACACCAAAAAAAAAAAAAAAAAAAAAACATTTGACCCTTTCGCTTTATCTCTTTCGCGATTGTTTGCGACATTTTTTGTTTTCTCTCTTTTTCGATTGTTTGCGACATTTTTGAATTAGAAAAAATACATTGAAATTTCAATATTTAAGAAATTACGCGCATAATATAATACAAAATTTGTCTATTTACTAACTAGTGAAAAAATATAATGTTAATATAAATTTGCATTGCTAAGCAGAAATTAATAATATTGTTAATATAGTTTGCATTGCCATACAAAAATACATTGTTAATTGCAACACTACAACATTTGATATGCATAAATATATTGTTAATCTATTACTGCCAAAACATTAACTCAAAACTACTCTTCTGCCAAAACATTAACCCAAAACACCTCTAACAGAATTACACTTTGCTCTAGTATGCCCTTCTTGTCTACAAATGGAACATCTCATTATGCGACCCTTCCTACTTAGTTGAGTCTTCTTACTAGCAGTTGATGAACCTTCACTTTCCTCACGATTTCTTTTCTTCTTTGGCCTACCTGTCATTTTTTTTGGGATTGGAGCCAAAATTTCCTCACAATTTGTTTTAGGCCAGAAGAGTTCTCCATTCATCGGTAGAAGAGCATGTGCATAAGTCCTTTGATATGCTTCTTTTGAGTAGCATGGATCAAGATAATCCTCCATATTCCTGCCATTGTCGAAGATGGCACATATAGCATGAGGGCAAGGTAGACCTGTCAAATCCCATGATCTACACGAACATGTCTTATTTTCAAGCCTGACTTTGAAATGATTTCGTCCTTTCTTAATCTCATATCCATCATCTCCATTAAAATCAACCTAGCAACAAAATTTACCACTCAAATTTAAACCCCAACAAATGTAATGTTATATTATTTTTAAAAAAATTGTATAAACAATGTACCTTCCATCCAATGCTTTCTTTCTTATTTGCAATTAGTTTCTTCATAATAAGTGGTCCATATCTACCTTTCCAAGTGTCTACGAACTTCATTTTTTTGGCTATCCTTCTCATAGCAAGCACTCGAATGTCTTCAAGCATGGGAATTATTGGCTTGCATCTTGCTTTAAGCAAAGTCCCATTGAATGCTTCGCATATATTATTATCAACAATGTCACATTTACTTGTTGTTCTAAAAAAAGCCTTGCACCAAAACTTAGGTGGATACCGTTCTAGGTCAGCTTTAGCCTCTTTGTCTCTCATTTCTAAGGCTTTTAGTTGTTCATGAAATTGAACTTCTGTTGTTGACTTGGCGCACATCCAAAAGTGATTCTTCATAACTTTTCCTTTATGGCGCTTACTCCAATTTGCATGCACATGCCTTGCACAATTTCGGTGCTCTGAATCCGGAAATAACTCTTGGATAACAGTTGTTAATCCCTGAAATTAAAATTATATATATAATGATGCAGTAAGAAAGACACTAGTCACTGTATATGAAGCAAATATACATTGGTCAATGTAATGTAGATACTGCTAGTGATTGTAATTAACACAAGCTAGTCAATGTAATTAAGATACTACTAATTAAAACTGCAACAAGAGCAACATAAAATAAGAACATGATAAAATAAAATTAAGATTCAAAAAACAAGAGCAAGATAGCCTCTTTCACACCGTAAATAGCAAGAAAGAACTACTAATACATTTTGAGCAAATGACATCACTAAATACATTTAAGAGTGCATACCTTCTGCTGGTCACTGATTATTGTCCAAGGGTAAGTGTTGGTGATTCCCAAATCATTTTTCAGCAACTCTAAAAACCATCCCCATGAATCTGTGTTCTCAATCTCCACCACAGCCCATGCAATAGGGTACATCTGATTGTTTGCATCTCTTCCTACTGCAGTTAATATTTCTCCCTTTAGCAACCCTTTGAGAAAACACCCATCCAATCCAATAATCTTTATACATCCATCTAAGAAACCCCTTCTTAGTGCATCAAAACATACATAAATTCTTTGGAACACACAAGGACTGTCAGGTGTGACCATACTGGTTTTTAGTTTTACTTTGCTTCCTGGGTTAGAGTTCATACACTCTTGTGCATAGTCCCTTATTCTCCTAAACTGATCCTCAAAGCTTGCATTAATTTTTTTGAGCACAGACCTAATTGCTCTTCTCACTTTGCTAATACTTAAATTTATTTTCAATTCTGACTCAATGTGATTTTTCAACTCTATAGGTCCAATGCAAGGATTATCTCTAATTTTTTCTTCATATTTATCTTCTATCCAACTTTGACTCACCAAACGCAAGCTGAACTTTTGATTGCAATTATGGTTGGCCTCAAGAGTCTTTAATTGAAAACACTTGTATTTCTCCTCCCATGAAGCAGTGCAATGAAATGGGCAGCCTTTACCATCAATACTCTCAATGCCAACACATTTAAACATCACTCTCATACTCTCATTTTTATAATAGCATATGTCCCTCTTAAAGTGCACTGCATAATTAATCATTGCTTTCTTAAACTCTGATGCATCTTCATAAAACATGCCCAACTCTAACTCGGGAAATTCAACACTTGGATTGTAAGATGGAAATTTACATTTGACCTTGGCTTTACTTGATTGTTCCAGTTGTAGTTGAGCTTCATCATCTTCCATCTCAGATTGGTAACTAGGTGGATTATCTGACTCATAATAAACACTATCTACTTCATCATCCTCAATAGTGTTTTCTTGAACTGTATGTTTCTTTTTTCTACTTGGTGCATGTGTTGCTCCTGATTTCAATTCTGCACCATGATTTCTTTTTTCTGCTTCTTCATCATCCTTATTACATTCATCATGTTCATCATCATTATTCTCTTCACCATCATCATCATTACCTTCATTTGTTTCCTCAAGATCAACACTTGGATTACCTTCATTTTCTTCTTCAACACCATGCTCAACATATATGTCCACCTTCTTATATCTACGTGCTAGCGTCATCAACTCCATCGTGTGGGTGTCATTAAAGAATGGCCTAAGCTTTTCCATCGCCTCCATACTTAACTTGTAAGATAGACTTTTGACCTTACCATATCTCTCATGTGCTATGAACTTCATCAAGTGAGGTACACAAATAAGATCGGGATCAGTTGTTACTTCATCAACTTCTCCATTTATATATCGTAGTCTTGGATCTTGCACAAAACTACCCCCATAATGAATTCTCAAATCTACTATGTCATACATTCTGAAAATTGTAAAATGGAATACATAAAATTGCAGGGATTATGCATCAAAGTAAAGGAAATGCATTATAACTGCTCAGAATGAAACTGCCCAAAATGAAATATTTAGACCATAAAAGCATAGTGTTTCAAACTGTCCAGAATGGATGCATTATAACTGCTCATTATAACTTTAGGGGTGAAATTAATGACTAACAAAATTAGTGAAACAAATATTCTAACAAAATTGACTTTATCAAATGCAATAAGAACACCTACACCAGCATCCAATTTATCATAAAAACATGAGATTCAAAATCTCAACTTTTCACTCCAAATAAAACTGTGTCAATTGTTACACAAAACAAAAGCAAAACCAGGCCCCAAAACAAAAGCAAAACCATGCCCTCAGTTTCATGAATACCAAGCTATATTGCAGCTCATCATCCCCCAAAAATCCCAAGTTCAATTACAGTACAAGATTTCTTTATTTTCACTAAAACTATCACACAAAGCCAAACCTCATCATCTTGATTCCATTTACAAAATTCAAAAACCAAAATGAATTAGAAGAAAAATTCAAAAATTAAAAAAAAAAATACATGGAAATTTCCCGAACACAGAATTACATAGAAAAAAAGAGAAGACCTGGAGGGTTATCGCTTTCCAGAACAGACCGTTCTTCTACTTTGATGCCTGAACCCAAAAGAACAAGAATACAAGTGAGTAACAACAATACCTGTAATTGTTCCCAAAAGCAGTGAAGGATAAAAATGAGTTGGTTACTCACTTGTAAGTGTTAAAAAATAACGCAAACAACAGCAAAAGATAGAAAAACAGCAAAATAGAGAAGAAATTACCAATTTATTGTAGAGTTTTCCGGAGAAAAGTAAAGTTGAGTCGGAGAGATTGGAGCCGATTCGATGTTCGCAACAAAGCAACGAAGAAGAGAAGAGGAGAGATTGGAGCCGATTCAAAGCAACGAAGAAGAGAAGAGGATTTGATGTTCGCGACAAAGCAACGAAGAAGAGAAGAGGAGAGATCGGAGCCGATTCGGAGCAACGAAGAAGAGAAGAAATATGGTTTATTTTGACAGTAGTCTTGGTCAAGAGGGTCAAATGCTTAAGTTTTTTTTTTTTTTTTTTTTTTTTTTTGGTGTCAAATGCTGATTAGGATAATAAAAATAATAAAATAAAAAATAAAAATTACAAATGGCATCCTAGTCAGCAGTAACTTGTTGTTAACCTGTTAAAAATGTTAATTGCACTTTTTTTTGCAGGTTCATAGATCAATTTGAAGCTTATTTGAGTTCGGTGGCTTAATTGCTAACCCCCAAATAGTTCAATGGCCTATTTGTACCTTTTCCCTAAATTTAATAACTTATGGATGTAATTTTAACGGACGACGAAAATGGTTAACATTTTTAAAATCGATAATTTAATTGGATAAAAAAATTATCGAGAATTAAATTAATAATTTTATAATAGTCAAGAGACCATTTTGGTAATAAACTCTTTCATGTTTTTTAGTTAGTTGATTTTTTTTTTTTTGTTTGCTCCCATC